GGGTATAGTAGTTTTGGCTGGCATCTGTGGTTTCTTAATGTTGGTAGAATATCTATCCAGGACCTTCTGGCTTTCAAAGTTTCCATGGAGAAGTCAGGTGTAATCCTGTTACTTGGCCTTTTTCCCTAGCTGCTCTTAATATTTTTTCTTTATTCTGTATATTTGGGGTCTTGATTATTATGTGTGGAGGGTTTTCTTTTCTTTTTCTTTCTTTCTTTTTTTTTTTTTTTGGTTCACTCTATTTGGCGTTCTGTAAGCTCCTTGCACCTTCATTGGTGTGTCTTTCTTTAGGTTGGGAAAGTTTTCTTCTATGATGTTGTTGAATATGTTTTCTTCTCCTTTGAGGTTGTTTTCTTCACCTTCTATACCTATTATTCTGAAGTTTGGTCTTTTCATGGTGTCCCATATTTCCTGGATATTTTTTGTTAGGGATTTGTTGGACTTAGAATTTTCTTTGGTCTATGATTCTAATTCTCCTAGTGTGTCTTCAACACCTGAGATTCTGTCTTCCATCTCTTTTATTCTGTTGATTATGCTTGCATCTGTAGTACCTGACTGTTTTCCCAGCTTTTCTATTTCCAGCATTCCTTCAGACTGTGGTTTTTTTTTTATTGTTTCTATTTCAGATTTCAGCCCTTGCACTGTTTGAATTGTTTCTTGCAATTTTTGCTTTGTCTTTTCTTCCATTTCTTGCATTTTTTTTTGGATTTTTTCCATCTCTTTAAGGGACTTTTTCATATCCTCTTTGAGGGCCTTTATCATTTTCGTGAAGTTGTTTTTAATGTTATTCTCTTCTGCTTCATTTGTGTTGGGGTGTTCCAATCTTGCTGGTATAGGATCTCTGGAATCTGGCGATGTCATGTTGGTTTTTCTGTTGCTCCTTGTGTTTTTATATTGTCTCCTTCACATCCATTCTTGTGGTGGGTTCCAGAAGGTGCCTCTTCCTCTCCTGGTGGATTACAGACCAGGGTTCAATTCTGGTGGGTGTAGGCAAGTCCAGTGCTCTGGTAGCTCTCCACTTCCTGGTCTTGTAGGTGGAGAAATGGACTAGGATGATGGGGTACTTTGGATCCCACTGGGATGGATGGGATCCTGCATGGTAGACCCCAGGCACAGGAGTGTGGCCTGGAGATAGGCCCTGATAGTCTTAGTCACATGCGTGGAGGAGGAGACTAGGATGTTGGGGTGTGTTGGCTCCTGCCGCAGGGATGGAAGCAGCTGTTTCAGTCCCCAAGTATAGGCAGGCAGCCAGAAATGGGCCCTGGTTTACCTAATCCGGTGGGTGGAGCAGGAGACTAGGGTGCATTGGTTCCCACTGCTGGGATGGAAGCCGCAGTGGTAGACCCCAAGCACAGGCAGTTGGTCTAGTCTGAGGGTGGAGCAGGAAACTAGGATGCTGGGGTGCCTTGGCTGCTGCTGCCAGGATGGAAGCCACCATAGCAGTCCCCAAGCACAGGCAGGTGTCCCAGAAATGGGACACTCTGGTATTGTTTAGCTGTCATTATTTCTTTGTGTAGAGCTGAGGCCGTATGGGCTCTGCCCTGCCCACTTTAGCATGTATATTGGTGTCATCCTTGTTCAGCTCATGTTTAGGTAGTGATGTTCATGGACTTTATAGGTGTAGATTTTGATGGTCTTGGGATATATAATCCCCCAGCAAACTCCCTGTTCCTCCAGTTCTTAGATTCTTTCTGCTTCTTTTTCTGCGATGACTCCAGAGTCTTAGGTGGGGGCTCTTCTTCTAACAAGATTCCCTAGGCCTTGGATACAGGAGTTGTACTTTAGATGCATCAGTTGGGATTGGATTCCAGAACTCTGCATTTTCATTGGTTGTGGCTTTCTGTAATGGTCTCCATCTATTGTAAAGAGCAGTTTCCTTGATGAGGAGCACACTGAGCTGTGGTGGTTCTTTGGAATTTCCCTTTACCCTCCCACTCCTATCATTGACCCCAATCAGTTCTTTGTGGTTGGGTTTCCTTAGCTCCTTCGTAGTTGTCCTGAATCTACCTTGAACTAGTCACTGACCAAGTGTATCCTGAATCTAAGAATATTGTTTGTTACATGGTTTTCAGTTCAGTGGGCCTCATGCTTCCCTCTATCATTGCACATTTCGATTCAGGTCACGGCTTCCTAGAGGCCAATAGCTGACACTTCCAGAGATGGATAGGACAGCCTACTGGCTTATAAAATGCTGAGGACATTCTGGAGTTTTGTTAAGGAATTTCAGGGACCTCTAGCTATACCAACTTCTGTCACCTGACTTCAATGACCTCTCATGAACTTTCTTTCTTTCCTTCTTTTTTAAAATCAGAACCATTATAGAAAAGGTACACTGGATATTTTTGTGTTTTTGTTAATCCTCTGACTTTATTTCAAAAATTTATCACTACATCATTTCTAGATCTGTCTAATATTGCATGTATTAAATTAGAAAGAATTATATATAATAAATATATCGAGAGAGAGAGAATGATTGCACTACATTTTGAATCCAGCAAAATTTCTCAATAAAAACAAATTTTTTCTTCAATGTTATTCCCATCGCCCCCCACCCCACCTCCTTGGAGAGATAGTTGTTAGCTGTTAGAGGCAGAGAGGATAGGCAGAGAATGTTTCATTGCATTTTACATCACCATTCCATTTGAGCAGTTACACAAGCACGGGGTGGGGGGATACATGCATTTTTCCATTCTTGAGGCCCTTTGATCACTTTTGTTCTTACATAACTCCCCAACAGCTGGAGTTGTAAACTTTAAAATTGGCAGGATTGTAGTTCGTATTGCGAAAGGAAACAACCCAAATTTGAAGAGAAACAGCTAGATATTTTTAGTGAATCCAGTATCTGGAGTCATAACCATTTAGTGAGTGCAGGGTGCTGGGGTAGCAATCAGATCTCTTGCCCCAGATGTCACCACCTTGACTGCCTTGACTGGTACTGTTGTACTGGGGTCTGTCTTAGGAGAATAGGTACTTTCTTCTCTGTCTCTGTCTCTGTCTCTCTCTCATATACCAAATTCCAGCTTATAACAACCCTTCTGGCCACAAAGGACCAAAGGATCATTCATTGTAATGTTTGAGGCCACCAGGAATAAATGCGCAGCAACCGCTGATTTGTTCTCTTATTGCTTCATGGTCCTCTCTTTCTGGCAAGATCTGCCTCCTTTTTCTCAACAGCATTTGTTGTTCATTTGTCTTCACTGCTTTCTTCTCAAACACGTCCCCCTTCTTGCTGGTTCTTAGCTCTCTCTAGCCTACCACTCCTACCCTTTCTCCCTCTCATCCTTTTTTGTTTGTTTGTTTGTTTAGTTTCGGACTTGAGTTTCTTATTTTTTGTTTTAATGTTTTAGTTTCTGAGTCTGAGACTGAGTCTTGCTACATTGACCAAGCTGGCTTCAAACTTGTGACTCGTCTGCCCCAGTTTCTTGAATCCTGGGATTCTAAGTCTGAGGCACCACATCTGGCTTTGGACATAAACATTTACCCAGTGAAATAGAAAAGAGACTGTTTATTGCTAGCAATATCACATCATAATGATAAAAGAGAAAATTCAAGCCCTGTCCTTCAGAGTTATAATCACTCCTACATGAAGTCAGTGCCACATTTAGAAATAGGTTTATGAAGAATGATTATACTTGCAAGTTGCTTAAATAAAACTAAAGAAAAACAAAATTGTGTTTTCCTAAGTGAATCAATCTGAGAGCCTTACTGATACTGGCTAGTCGTTCAGGTTTTTAGAGTACTAAGATAACAGGAAAGTTGGGCATCTCATTTCGTTCTGCTAACCTTTCTTTCCCATTAAAGAACTGGCTCATAGACTTAAGAGGGACTCTGATTCTGCATCTCCAGGAGTGACAGGACATTGGTAGGGAGGGTAGTTTGATGAACTAAGTAGCCAACTGGTTTCTGCTTGGATCTGAGGCCCATTCCCACCAGAGGGAACACATGCGTGACTCTGTAAACCTGGTGAAGAGCCTAGGGGTAGTGAGGTCATATGCCTTGGATGGGGCAACTACTTTTATTGTTTTGGTACATGGTCAGGTTGTCAAAATGCCTTCCAAAGACTCGTTTTTTACATTCATAATTTAGTGTTATGCCCAGTCTTCATTGGAGAAACTTCTTGCTAAAGCAGGAACAGTTCATGTAGAAAGCCGTTAATTGGCCAATGTGTTGAAAATAAGTGATAGAGTGTTCTGCTCTAAATGGAGTGTTCAAGGCTCAGGGAATATCTTAGTCACTGTTGTAGTGTTATAAAAAGACATATGACCAAGGCAACTCTTATAAAAGAAGGCATATAACTAGGAACTTGCTTACATTTTCAGAGGTTTACTCGATTATTATCATGGCAGGGAGTATGGCAGCATGTAGGAAGGCATTGGAATAGGACTTGAGACCTTTATACTCTGACCTGCAGGCAGAGAGACAGAGACAGAGAAAGAAAGACACAGAGAGAGAAAGACACAGAGAGACAGAGAGTGCCTAGGCCTAGTGTGTGCTTTTGAAACGTCATAGCCTATTCACCTTCAGTGACACATTTCCTCCAACAAGAACACACCCCCTAATCCTTCTATTTCTTTCAAACAATTCCATTCCAGAGTATCTAAGATTCAAACATTAAATGGCAACTACCTTTTGAGTGGTAACGCACCTGTGGTGACCACATAGGTAATATCATGGATAAAGGAGCAGAAGGGATACAAGAGTGAGAGGATGGGAAGGTGTGTAGAAAAAAAGGTACTGTCTGGATGTGATGTAACCACTGTACTCATGGCCTTACTGCAGCTGTGGTTATCTTCACAAGACCTGCATGAGACTGGGTATGTGTTAACATTTTATCATAGAGAGGTAGACCTCTTGGACATAGAGCGTGGGGTTTTAAGCTTGTGCTTGTTGAGAGATGTTGATGTAATGGGAAGGAGCAAATTAAGGGGCTTATTTGTATCCAAAATTATATATGTATACATACACTTGATGGTGCTCTGTTTCTTTTTTCTTTCCTATAGAAATGTTCCTGAACCTGCCTCTCCAAATTGACACATAGGCCAAGGGAGAAACTCTTCATGAAGTTAAACAGCAAGTACTCAACTAGGATTAAACATAAGTAGAAAGATGTGATCTTGTGATCAAGATTAACTTAGTACTTAATCAGTCAGCATGGATTTCAAATCTGATGATTGCCATTGGTAGCCAACAGCTTAGATGTGAATGCAAGGCATCTGTTAGTCATTGTCCCCTAGATTCTCCCACACACTCTGGTAAGGGTGCCACCAAAAAGGACTTTTGTCAGAAAATTTGCTGACATTGTTAGAAGTTCTTTTGTGACCAGGCAACTATTTTCAACATGTTTCTTCTTTTCTTTTTTGGGGGGGGGGTAAAAGAATTAGTTTGAGTCACATATGGTGCCTCATGCTTTTAATCCCTAGCACTTAAGAGGCAGAGGCAGGTGGAGTTCTGTGAGTTCAAGGTCAGCCAGGTCTACAAAGTGAGTTTTAGGACAACTAGGGCTGTTACATAGAGAAATCTTGCCAAAAGGGATTCTATCCAATGTGGAAGGACAAAGTCTTTGAAGATGTTGAGTTGCACAAAGCCAAAAAAAATTATGAGTTTGTACAGAAGAAAATATGTATGCCTAGCTCTTCTTACCTACTGGAAAGTTCATGTTCATAGGAATCTGTGCCAATCATGACTTACTTAAAGCAGTCTTTCTCTTTGGGAGGTTTTCTTTGTATTACCCTCAGCTGAAAAAAATCCAGGAAAGGACTTGATGCGAAGTGAGATATTTTTAAGTTTTCCATGCCTTATCTTTATTTTCCTTCAAATAGCCTCCTCCCCAATGATGGTCATGATGATAGGAACTGACTTGGCTACACTACATGCTTTGTCTTCAGAAAGCTTCCCTCACACATGCTGTTGTCCTCACTTGACATATCCGTACAATGAGGTGCTGACAAGCCTAGAAATATGCCTAAGATCTTACAGCTAATAAAAGTTACAGATAGATTTGTATACAGGCATTCTGACCTCGAAACAGGTTATAACTTTCTGTAATGCTGTCCCACTGTTGAAGATAATAAGAACTAATATTTTGTTACAAAATTTATAGAAGTCATACTATCTGTTAGGTTCTGAATTAGGCATCGAGGGCATTGAAGCAAGCATGATCACTGTCACCATGGAACCTAGACTATGGAGAGCGACAGCAACATAATAATTAAAAAGCAATTTATATAATTAGAATTATTGTGTATGATGAGCGTCTATAAGATGATACCTATTTACTCTCTGACTAAGTGGCATTTAAAGTAACATTAGAAATAGTTTAGGGTTGTAAAATAATGGCAGGAGTGGCAGAAAGGGTCTAGGGGATTGAATATTCTCAAAGATGAGATTTCCATTATTTCAACTACATTGAGTACATTAAAAGCGTGGTTTTTGCCAATAATATTTTCTTAGAAGTATAGATAAAATCTGTACTTGCTTTTATGTGGTCATAACTAGATCCTATTCTGCTGAGGGAACTAGCTGCATAGCCATAAGATTTAGAACCAGATGTCTTTTGATGTTCAAAGTATGTAAGGTAAGAAATGCCCAGAGAATGAAGAGGCACTCCAAGAAAGCCAGGAGGGATTCTATCCAATGTGGAAGGACAAAATCTTTGAAGATGTTGAATTGCACAAAGCCAAAAGGATGCCATATTAGATCTGCTCCTTCCCTCCTTTTTCTAGTCTGGCATTACAAGATGTATTGTTCTACTCCCATGTAATGCGTAGAAATCCAACTTTGTATGAGTTATAATATGAAGTAACTAAGCTTTGTGGAATAAAGAAGTTAGCAAACTGGAAAGGGAATGCAGAAACAAATAATGTATAAGAATTAAGTATAGGAGTAACAAAAATAAGGAAAGCGCTGACAGATGATCATCCATTTGCAAAATAAATAGATTCCTCATTCTTAACAGCACTCTTTTCAGATGGAAGAAGGATTGAAGCCTGTTTTATCTTCTGAAATTCTCGAAGGAGACAAGGGATAATAATTGTATGGTTCCTGGTTGGGAAAGCAAGCACCAGGACCAGTTTATGTATTTCTTCAGGCTTGCTTGGCTGGCCTGTTCCACAGTCCTTTACCAACCACAGGCTTGTAAGCTCCAATGTCCCATTTGACTTTATGGACAAACAGCTTGTTGATATCTATTCCATCCCTATCCTTCTGTCTGTCTACCAAGAAATCAGTAGCATGTGGGTGTATACAAAGCAATAGTTAAAATAGGACTCTATAAAAAATGTAAAAATTCTTTATAATGTGTGTGTGTGTGTGTGTGTGTGTGTGTGTGTTATGGGGCTTGTAAAGGGAAGTCTTGAAGCATGATTCTTCCTCAATTAATATTCTCCATCTGTTATAAACAAGTTCTTAATCTACTCCTAGAGCTCTTAATGCCCACAATGAAAATGGTAAAAATTATATCTTACTTTCCCCAACTTCTAACACTTTCAACCAAAACTTCGCATTTTTAAAATGATGAATGGTGACAACAAAGGACATCAGTATTAGTTTTTACCTTTGGTGCTGTCTCACGATTGTTGCTGATATTATTTACCTCCAGTACTAATTCTAAATTTATGAGACTTGTGGATGGCCATACCACCCTGAATGCACCTGACTGTGCCAAAATTGATGAGATTCTCATTAGTCTTGTTAGTTGGTTGAGTCGAGGTAAGAATAGAGAAGAGCAGGATGAGAGATTGAGTCATTATAGTCTTGAGGAGAGAGCTGACACTAGTGAGATTTCCAGAGATCTACAAGGATAACACCAACTGGCAAACTAAGCAATAGTGGAGAGACTACATTAATTGCCCCTCCTTGATGGTAAGATTGATGACTACCTTATATGCCATCCTAGAACCTTCATCCAGTGATTGATGGAAGCAGAGACAGATACCCACAGCTAAACACTGAACTGCACTCCTGGAACCTAGTGACAGAGATGGAGGAGTGATGAGCAAAGGGGTCAAGACCATGATGGTGAAACCCACAAAGACAGCTGACTGGATAAGGGGGAGCTGTTGAATCCCAGACTGATGCCTGAGAGGCCAACAGGGGACTGATCCAGACTGCATGAATGTAGTGTCAGTGAGGAGGCCTCAGAAATCACTGGGGCCTTGGGTAGTACATCAGTGTTTACCATGGTTTATGAATGATCTTTGGGAGCCCATTCCACAAGGAGGGATGCTCTCTCAGCCTGGACACATGGGGAAGGGCCTAGGTCCTGCCCTGGATGAAATGACAGACTTTGGAGATCCCCACAAGAAGGGCCTCACCCTCCTTGGGGAATGATGTGGGGATTGGATGGGGGGCTGAGGGGACTGGTGGAGGGACAGGGGGGAGGGGTGGGAGAGGGAGCTGGAATTGACATGTGAAGCATTCATGTTCGTAATTTAAATAAAAAAAGAATATTTAGGTCTGAAGAGATGACCCATATATTAAAATCTCTGGCTGCTCTTTCAGGGAACCCAAGTTTGGTTCCCAACACCCACAAGGAGGCTCACAACTGTTTGAAACTCCAGTTCCAGAGGATCTAACACCCTCTTCTGGCCTCCACATCTACTGCTTTTAGGTGTCACACATACATATACTTAAGCACTCACACACAAATATAAAATAATGATTTTTATATGAATATTTGTCTCACATTTATTGAGTATATTTTATGTAAATGAATATAAATATATAATATAGTACATTCTAACACAGTTGGATACTTTTATATTCCTTTCTTTTTTGTACATTTTACATGTTATCTGGAAGTTTGTCTGTGGGTTCAAAAGCCTGTTCAAGGCTTCTATATTATGAAAAGCATTGAGAACATTGTCCAAAGCTTATGTATGCAGGAAAGATAACTGTCAGAGAAGCACACTACTTACACCTCTTACTCTAAGCACCAGTCTCGCTAGGTGGTTGTAGAAGGTTTTGATTAACACTTACAACTCAGAACTTTCCCCTTCTAGTCCTGAGCAGGTGAAAGGATGCCAGGGGAGGACTCCTACATGATTGGCAGTCTCCCTTGAGATTGGCAGGTCCTCATCTCATTACTGCTGTTCATCAGTGGGTGTAGGTGTGACTGAATATTTATAGTGTGTGTGTGTGTGTGTGTGTGTGTGTGTGTGTGTAAGTCAGAATAACTTGTGGGAGCTGGTTTTTTTCTTCCACCAAGTAGGTCCTGAGGATTGATCTCAGGTTGTCAGACTTGGTGGCAGGCACCGTCATCCTAAGAACCATGTTTCCATCTCATGATGTGAATACTTGATACTTTGATTTTCTTCTGTTAGAAGAGTATGAAAATTTGGCTAATTTTATGGGGCTTTAGAGGGTTCATTTATTCCATAGGAATCAGTACTCAGTCACGAGCTTCAGTACTCTAGAAATATTTTGTCATTAAGAGTATTAGGCAAAATAGCTAATACATGGGGACAATTGCTGGCCTAACTAAAATCCAAAACAATAAAAATGAAAGCAAGGTTTTGGGGGATTCCTATCAATTTGATAAAGTTTAAAAATGGTGTCAAATTCTGATAGGGACTCAGGAGACTAGGCAACCATGTCTGATTGTTTTTATTAATATTTATTAAACATGCTATTTGTGGATATCCTCTGCCCTGATCATTTTACGTCTTAAATCTTACCTTAAAATGTTCATCACTAACAGCTCAATGGATAAACATACTAGGATGTTTGTTATTTCTGTATTTCCAGTAGAATAAGATCTGAAAGCAGTATACAGTGTGTTTATATGTAAGGACTGCAAGGTAGTTGACCAAGATAATCTGTCTAATTTTCCCTATGTGTTATCAGCCATTCCAAGAAAATGATCAAGGAGTAGACAGGCCTCTTCACTTCCAGGAAGCTACATGTTGTACTTCAGGAAATGCAAGTGGTACCTGAGAACTCTCCTCTCTGGAAAGTGAGTTCACACAGGTAGTCAAGCCAGCGGGGAGACAGTAACAATATAAGCAGCAGAATAGTGGAGGCCACCAAACAGAAGACAGTGCTCTTTGAGATCATGCATTGTGGGACTTATGCTTCTCTCCTTACTCTGATGTTGCATGGAAGGCAATGGGGGCATTAAGTGAATCTCAGTCTGAGTCTCCATCCACCATCCTTGACCTACTAGTGAGTACCCAGCTTATAGCAATTCAGACAGGATGAATGGATTTGCATCTCCAAAGTATGCAGAGTGAATAAAAAAACCAGAGGCATTCTTCTGAAGACTCACTGAGGGAGAGGAGTAGCAGAGCTGAGATCTTCAGTGGCATTTCTCCTTAGCCTGGCAGAATGAAGACAAGAACTTAATTTGGCTTGAATAAGTAACTAAATGTGAAGACTGTGAACCCAGGAGCATGTGTCAAACTTGATGCCACATGCTCCCTAGTAACTAAACCTCTTCTTTGGCACCTTTGCTGTGAGAGGTGAAAAGACTCTGGGTGACCAAAGGTGTCCTGAGGAGACTCTATGCAAATTTGACGGAAAGGGGAGACTGCTGAGTGGTTTCACATAAGGAGACCCAATGTTCAAAGAACAGATTAAAACACACTATGAGCAGAGAAAATAGGAAATTCAGAAAACCCGTTTGTCTACTTTTCTCTCATGAGGCAGAAATTGGGTCACAGCCTGTTCCAACTCAGACCTCAGGTAGCTGCTTAGGCTGCCAAGGATTCTGATTGGGTGCCACAGCATGGCCTCTGAACTTGAATAGCTTCAGGATTTAAAGCCAGTGGAGGCAGGAGGGTTGTCAGACAACATCAGATTAAACAAGTGGAGAGCCAAGGGGTTTTTCAAGTCAGAGAGCAGACATACCACCCCCTGAGACGGGGACCCAGGGACACAAGGCACAAAACCTGTGTGGTTTTGGTTTTGAAACTAGTTTTCTGCAGTCTGTGTGGATGCAAATGATTTATTCTTGTTATTCTTGTTCATTTAGATTGCTCATATGTTTCTAAGTCTAGAACTGGATATCACAGAACAGGGAAATAGAGTCCCATCCAAAAGAGTAACTTTAGGTTGTTGAAGGAAGCAATGAGTGTATGAAGTCCTGAACAAAAGTGTATTGTTGACATTATTGTTGACAGGACACAGCCATATCAAGAATCCAAAACCTCAGACCCAAAGGAAAGTGTCAAAGCCTTCCCCAGGCTAGGCTCCGAGGAATGGCAAAGCCTTTGGTCTGAGGGAAAATGTTGAGACCATGTGCAGAAAATGTCCACTGTGGTTTTCTCTCAACTGATTGATATTTTAACAGCCTGGAGACTATTCTTACTGTGATTAGCTAACACTCACTCTGATGCAACTACATACCATAAACCACGCTTCCTTGTCTTTCTGCATTCAATGACCTTACATCTCTGCTCAACTGTGTAAAATAAATATGTTGAGCTTCCGGGGTTCTGCTGTCTCTTTGCCAGAAAGCACAGCCCACGTTACCCAGTTCTGTGTGTCTATGTGTTTGCCTTTTCTTCATTCCCTTGCATCCCCAAGTCAGATCCACATCCTTAGAGTCATGTGAGGACCTGGCAGTAACTAGTACTGTGTCTTCATTTCTTGGGGCAAGGGGGCAGGGTCAGTGGTTGGGCTTTTGCTTGCCTCCTCCTCCAACCTCTGATGAATTCTTGGGTCCTATGGGACGGTGTTCAGAGTGTCAAAGTGAAACTTTAGGGACTCTGGCTTTTGTGCTAAACACTGTGCGTTCGTGGTCATGTCTTGAACAGCTGATACCTATACAATGAGGAGAAACCTAATGATTAGTGAGCTTAGGTAGTTTGTGCAAGATCTCAAAGGTAGTAGATATCCTAGCTAGTGAATCCACACACTGGACTTTTCATCAAACCTGTTAGTCATTAAAGTATGTCTAATGTTAGGTCTCTTTTGAAGATGCTTCAGGCTTGTGGCTTTTGGCTGCTTATATATTTTATATATTTTAATGCACTTGCCCCACACACGGCTTATTGTTTCTGGAGTTACATGTAGATCCAGAGTAAATTGGTATAATATTAATTTACACCCCTGACTGCCATCTGAGTACTTCTGAGAGGCTGTATGTGTGCTCAAGTTAGCACTTAATTGCTTATGTTGACATCAAGGCTTAGAAGCCCAGAGATTCCCCAGGTAGCCACCTTACCTCCAAGCAGCCTTATGCTTAGGCCTGTATGCCATATAGTTTGGCCATTTGGTGTGTCCTCTATGAACTCCATTGGCAAAACTACTACCAGGAGATTTTGTTAGAAAGTGATAGAAATGATGTGATTTGTTCCTTGACTCATTTCCCATGAGCATCTTTGCCTCTTTTCCCCAAGTGAAAATCTCAATGGGATAACATTAAACTCTTATTCTGCCTGTAACTTTTCTCCAGTATGTATAGTTTACATAAATCAAAGAACTATCAACACATTTTTTTCTTCCATAAAATATTTCTAGTACTCTGAAGACATAGGCTCCATAGTATTCCATGATCAACTTTATTTACCCCATAAGCTTTGATGAGATGGAGTGTGTAGAGGAATAGTTAACAAAAATGGCAGATAAATTGTCTACTCAAGATATTTGATAATTTTCCTTAAAAACAATGTTTCTTTTAAAGCTTCATTGCATTTATTTATTAATGGGAGGTGATTATATATGCATATGCCGTGGCACATGTTGTGGAGGTCAGAGAACAATTTTCAGGAATCAGTTCTTTACTATGTGTTTTGGGACTCGAACTCGGGTTATCAGGCTTGACAGTAAACATCTTTACCTACTGAGTCATTTCACCAAGGTATTCTTAACTTTTCCTTCTTCCTTCCTTCCTTCCTTCCTTCCTTTGTTCCTTCTTTCCTTTGTTTCTTCCTTCTTTCCTTCCTTCCTTTCTTCTTTTTTGATACAGTTTCTCTCTACATATCCCTGGCTATCTTGGAATTCACTATGGAAATCAGACTGACCTCAGAGATCCGCCTGCCTCTGCCTCTTGAGTGCTGGGATTAAAGGTGTGTGCCCCCACTCCCAGCTCCCTATCCTTAACTCTTTTAATTAAAATTTTATTTGACCTATATATGAAGACAAACAGCAAACAATATTTCAGATATGAGTTATTGACTATGGAGAGTATATCTAGGTCACAGATAACACAGCTACTTATTCTGAAAAAGTTTCCATAATAATTTCTTCTCTTTTTTCAAGTCTGCACATGTATTTGAACTTTGGGCCCAGAAGATTCTCTAGCAATCCTATGGAAAAATCTACGTTGTATCTTTAGCAGGAAGGAGGTATGTCATGATGTGTGGTGCCAATTATGTCATACCTCAGGCATATTGTGTAACATCTGTACCTTAAGTTTATCACCTCTGTGGCCTACTTGGCAGTAAGTAGTGTGGCCTTTGCTGACATACTCAAAAGTGAACAGGACAAGCCATAGGCATCTGGCACCCAACTGTTTGCTTTGTGGTTCAATTATGTCAACAACTTTTTAAAGACATATGCCACAGGCAGACTTGGGAGAGGAGGGTTCTTTGGCTTTATCACTCTAATGTTACTGGTGATGATAATAACTGATTCAAGACTCATCATGCTCATAGGTACTACATGTTCTTTGAGTAATTTGCATGTGTTAATTTAGTTAATTCTCATGTCAACTTGCTAGCATTCACTTTAATTTTCTGAAAATAAGCCCTTCTTGGGTCAAGTGATCAATGAATAATGGAGATGAGAATCAAAGACACATCTATATGGCACCAAAGGTCACTTTTAAAATCCACTGTATTCTAGAATATTGCATGGTGGCCTTACTCACATGAATCACAGCTTCCAGTCACTGTACCCTGTATACTCTAAGCTGTATCCAACAGAAAAAAAGAAATCACAGCATTCAGAAGTTGAATTATAGTCCCTACCACACATTTTCATGTGTTATACTTGAACCTTAAAAAAATGAGATAAGTTCCAACTGGGTTGAAATGGTTTATATTGCATGAGAAGAATTTCTGAACCACAGGACATGGATGGAAGGGCATGCCTGGTTCCAGAGGCATGCCAGCTAATCCGTGGCATGTCAGAGCCTGAACACCATGGTGCAAGGTGCTATCACTTTCCAAAGAGGAATCTTTCCTCATGTCCATTTCTGTAAGTGCTACAAGGCTCCTTCCAGCCAAGTGACCAGGCTTTCAGCCCCCCAGGGACCAAGGCAACTCCTCCTAAGAGGACTGGGTGATAGAAGGCCAAGGGCATGTTAGACACTGGAAGTCTATGTGTGATCTGAGATTGCCACATAGTTATGAATGGAATCTGCACAATGTGGGCTTCCTCACGTTCCTTCCTGGTAGCAGTTGGTGACATCTGACTAGGCAGAGGTCTTTAATAAATGTTGATGATTGTAATAAAGACTTGCATAACATCATGCCACATATGGAATGTTCCCACAGTAAAAAGAGACATAATATATAAATAATATATTAGATACAGTGTTTGGTATGAGAAATTTATAATATATTTTATAAATTATTTATAACTTATTTATAGACATTTATAACTTATTTATAGAAATAGCTTGTAAAATGTTAATACTAGGAAGACTATCAGGTATAGATACCTTCAGCCCTCTCATTTTAATGACAATAAAACAGGTTATAATGATATAATGACTTCCCTAAAGGACACACACACACACACACACAGACACACACACACATACAGACACACATGTACACACACACTTGTTTAATATGAACATTATGTAAGCTTAGATTTTAAAAAGTGTATTGGCACGGTGGTGCTGCCTTTTAGAAAGGTCTTTTTTTTTGTGCATGGGATTAAGCATCTGATTGGCTCAGGTCTTCCACACATCTGAGGACATAACAGGAAAAATGTACTATCTGGGCCTATGGCCTCCCTCTACAAAAGGGCCATTTGTACTATGTGTGGAAGAAAGAAGTATTAGTTATCAATTTCATCATTCTTGTTGCTGTTCTTGAGAACACTTATTGACTGCTAACATGAATGCATTCAAATACTTTTGAGGTAATACCCTTATTTTATTTGCTGTGAAGAGACACAACAACCAAAGCAGCTTATAAAAAGCATTTAAATGTGGGCTTGCTTACAGTTTTAGAGAGTGAAATCGCGGCCATCGTGGCAGAGATGTTGGCGCCATTCAGGCAGGAATTGGCGCTGGAGCAGTAGCTAATAGTTTGCTTGCATCCGGATCCACAGACAGCAGGCAGAGAGGGTGATCCCTGGTGACACACCTCCTTCAGCAAGACTGCACTTCCTAATCCTTTTTAAACATTTCTACCAACTGGGAATCAAACATTCAAACATATGAGCTATGGGGGGCATTCTTACTCAAACCAGTACTGTGGAGTTTGTCTTCTAGATCATTACTTTTGTGTGTATTTTAATATTACTATAGTGGAGGAAAATAGAACGAAATGAGAAAGAGACATGTTAATTTCAGCAAATACTGTCAGAATTGCACTAGTTGAGGTTGGTAGCCTACTTTGGTGAGAAGGACCATAACCCACTTTCAATGTCAGTGAACACCATTCAGATATCACTGTCTGTTAGTATAGATTAAGAATTGTCTTTTTTTAAAAAATCACTTATGTGTTCATCATGTCCTGTCATCTCCAGTTAAGATCAGAAAAAGTTCCTCATAGTTTTTGTTTCCTATTGGTACATTTGGCAAATCCTACCTGTTTTTTAGAATCTAAATTCTAGTGACACCGTAAGAAAGCCATTATCATAAGACATGTTCCTTGTTCGCCTGCCTGTCTCCAGCTGGTATACATGAGGTGCTCAGTTGTGTGTTTTGAGCACCACAGTTTATTTTGCGTGATTTCTCCCCTGTTGTCATGAAGCACCTACATTCAGTGTGTGTTTCAGGTCTCCTTATTGGATGCTAAAGTTACCTGGTTTGTTTCATGTTCTTGCTTCAGCCTCTCTTCCTGACCTCCCTCCTCCTTCAGTTCTCTCTCTCTCCCTCCCTCCCTCTCTCCCTCCCTCTCTCTCTCCCTCTCTCTCTGTATCTCTCTCTCTCACTGTCTCTCTCTGTCTGTCTGTCTGTCTCTCTCTCACGCACACTCACACACATAAATTACTGTCCTATGAGTCTTTGTTTGAGCCCCCCCCCCCAGTCTGCACTAAGCTCAGGCTTCCCTGCCCTCACTCCCTCATTGTAACTAAGCAGAGCCGGAGGGACACAGTGAAATGCATGCCAGCCCTTCTATCAACGAATGATTCAACTCAATAAATCATGTTCCCTTTCGTAAGGATTTTCCTCTTTTATTGAATACTAGGGCTGTAGCTTAAATTTTCTACAGTTTCTTCCCATTCCCAAGACTGGGGTGTTGGTTTGTTTTCCTTTCCCCAGAGAGAGTCTCACATTCTTTTTTTTATAATAATGTCCACGTATTTGACACATGGCTCATAACAATTGCTTCACTATTGCCTAAATGTTCTTGTGGTTCTCAGTTTCTAGCAAGAACTCGCACAGTCAATGCTGCAGGATTTGTAGAGAAAAGGTGCCATTGGGCAGAGGAGTAGAGGCAGGGCCTGTGCCCAGAGCTGGTGGCCTGCCTGCTCCGCCTTGGGCCAGCTACTTCCCACACCACTCACTTACTGATGTCAACCCCTGGGGCCTCAGCCTCTTTATTGTGCTGCCAGTCATTTGGAGGTGATAATTACTCATATCTCAGTTCCCCACAAACAGTACAATGTTTCTAGTTTTCCAAAAGCTGTGCTCACCCACCTGTCTCCCACCGTACGTGCCTCTCAGCCACCAGAAGTTGTGCAATCATAAAGGATATGTGTGTCACCTGAGGAGGTCATGGGACCTGCCTAGAGATACCAGCACTGTTCCAGCCAGTGTTTTTTTGGGGACGTTCCAAAGTGACAGGACGTTCAAGGAAGCAGGACAACCAGGCAAGGGTCCAGAGGTAAGGGACAGGGACAAAACACAGCTGCTCATTTAGTCCTTGGGCAGCAAAGACTGAAACACGCTGTTCCTGTTCCAGCAACTAAAAGGAAGGTGACAAGAAACCTGAGAACAGGGAACTTAATTATCACCAAAGCTCCCAGGACACATAGACATTCTCAGCACTGACTGCACAGCTTAACCCTTGCAGCCCCAGTCTTCCGTGCTTCACTGTGTCTGACTAGAAGGGACGAGGAAAAGTAGGGTCTTTGTTCTTCCATAAAACTCACACTTGCTTCTGGGTTGACTCTATGTCAGATAAAAGCACCGAGCTTGAATATGAAACACAAAACGTCTCCAAGAATGTGCAGTGTAGATTGTCTTGGGACTTTCCGTATTCTATGTAAAATAAGCTGCTATCATCCACTGAGTCCTGGATCAATGTGACTATTCCTTACCACCTCCCCTCTCTGCACCATCACAGGTCAGGCTCTCTCTTAAGCACTAGGGAAAGCAAGATAAATGAATGAAGGTTACAGTTTTGGGGGCTTTTGACAGAAATGAGGAAGATGAAAATACAGATCACTCTAATGTGATGAGAAACAGATCTCTGTTGGCTCAGGCTCAATTCCCTCAAAGCACCTATGGCAGTTTGAACTTTTTATTTGTGCTGCTAACTCTACTCTGTTTCCTCCATTAAAATACCAACTCTCCACAGGCAGGGATCTTGTCCAGGATTTCTATTCTTATATACCTCACACCTAGTCCAGTGACTGACAGAAGATAGTGAGTACAGACTAGTATATGATAAGTGAATGAAGAAATTTAAATTTATTGTGACATCCACTTGCTGACTAAAGTGAATTATCATGGGTATTGGAGTGGATAGTGATGACTAGAACATTTTTGAAAACTAGAATCACTGTGAACTAAAAATCTGAGATTTAAAGTTGTGGGAGTCACACACCTAGATTATATGGAGTTGTAGAGGGTCTATTCTAGAGGATATTATGTGTATATTCTGGATAATGACTGCCTAATTTCTTTTTGTTTTTCATCCTCAGGATAAAAGTGTAGAATGGAGCTGCCCGATAGATAGGAAAGGCAAACCATACACGACTCAATATTTCGCCTGAAGCCTGGCACCTGTTTCCCTGACCAGCTGGCCAGACACATTTCAGGGCAGTGGTCTGAACATTAAGAGAGGAAGGAAGACTGTGCAGCTCCCTGCTTCCCTCTGGGAAGCCTCAAAGGCATGCTACCCATTCACAGTAGCATGTGGGTTTTCTTGAAAGACTTCTGCCTCTTGTCCCACCGCTGGGTTAAAGTTGCTGAGTGGAAATCTAATAATGAGCAGGCTATCCTACTGCAGGGATGCTGGGCCACTGTGGCCTGTGCTCATGACCCATATGTCAACAGGTGCAGTCGCCTAGAAAGCTTTGTGGCCCAGGGTGTGACAGGGTGAAGACAAGCTGGGCTGCCAACAACTGTGTCATTTGGTAGCTCTTCTGATTACCACCTACAGAGAGCAAAGAGTAGAGCCTCTCACCCCATCCATGTGCAGACAGCCTGTAATAGGGCAGCATTGCTAATGTTAGGCACAACTGCTGAAGCCAGTATTCAAGGAGGAAGTTCATCCTCTCTCCTAAAAGTTTTTCAGGGCAGAAAGACCAAAATCTAGGATCTTATGAAGCATGGAGATTACATTGGTACTCACACAAGGCCTGAAGTCTCAGCTTGACCCTGGCACAGCTAGAAAGTGGCAAGGTAGGGAGGACATTGGGAGCTGGGAAATCATGACCAGAAACTGAAGCCAGAGGTCAGATTTTATACTTCTGCATGGCCAAAGAATTAGACTGAACACTGATGCTCATAACAAGCTTTAATATGGTTTAATATAACTCCGAGATAAAGGTAAAGCATACAATCTTGAAGCTAGAAAATAAAGTTTCCTAATAAGGCAACAAAAATTACTATCAGGCTTCTACAGAACCAATACAAATCACAGTTGTATAATTCTGCTTAAGGGATGGAAGATAGTAATTGCCATTTTGAACTCTTCGTGGAGGTAAAGAAATAATCAAAATGGGGGTAAAATAAATGGTGTAGAGATTGGAAATGAAGAAATGCTATTCTATTTATATATGGTATGGCTATATATGTAGAGAATCTGAAATAACCAACAAAAAGTACTAGACTAGTGATTGCAACAGAGTTCTAGCATGTATAATAAATGTAAAAAATCAATCACTTTCCCATATCACAGCAATAAATGAGAGGAGTTATAAATCAGCAAAGATACACAATAGCTTTTATAATCTTCTCTCCAAGTTAAATACTCAATTACACATTTATCACAAGGCATATAAAATTCTGATGAAAGAAATAAAGAGCTGGATAAATGGGAAGGTAACCTATGTCCGTGGATAATGAGACTCAGCAATGCAGAGTACCAGTCAGAATTCTATAAAGTTATTTTGTGGGTATCAACAAACTGATTATGAAATTTATATAAGTCAGAAAAAGAAAGACATAAGGGTGCCAACTCAGTGTTGAAGAGCAAAGTTAGCAGAATCATTCTACTTTAAGACAGAGTAGAAAGCTATAGTAATTGAAATCATATTGGCAAAAGAACAAATAGACCAATGGGATGGAATAAAGGGAACAGAAATTGACACATAAATAAAATCTATTGATCTTTGGCAAATCAACAAAAGCAATAAGTTTGGGAAGGGAGATTTTTCAATAAATGTTGTTGAGACAACTGGATGTTTACATGCAAAATGACTAGTCAGCTAATCAACTTCATGGTTTCAATGTGAAATGCCTCCACAGTCTTATGTGTTTCAACACTTGGTCTTCAGCTGGTGGAACTGTCTGGAAGGCTGTGGAAACTTGCTGGAGGAAGTGAGTCACTGAGGGAGGGCCTTGGGATATTATAGCCCAGGCTAGCTTCATGTTCACACTCCTCTTCCTGACCGTGGATAGAGCGTGAGCAGCTGCCTCACACTCTTACCACCACACGTTCTCTCCTATAGTGCATTTTGTATCTGCTCACACCATAAGTCATAAGAAGCCCTGCCTCTCTTTGAGTTGTTTCTTGTCAGGCATTTTCTCACAGCAATGAGAAAGATAAATCATTAAGAAAATTTGTAGTAAGAGTGGGGTCATGATGTGATCATGTATTTAGGTTCTCAGAACTGATATGCAAGAAAGCAACAGAAGAGTTTGGAACTTTGGGATAGAAAATTTGTACCGTACTGTAAACAGAGCTCAATGGACGATTCTGGTAGGCCTTTATAAAGGCTAAGAGAAATGAGAACAGTGGATTCTCAGTTTATAAGGTTTCATAGAGGAACAATGAGTCTATTAGGAGCTAGAATAGGATTTTTTTGCAGAGTTTTCTTCATTCTATCATTGTCCTGAGAATTTGTGTTAAGTTTGAATTTAAAAGTAATGGACTAATGTATCTGGTGAAGGAGATTTCAAGTCAGGATAGCAGTCAGGCATGCTCCTACTCTCTGCACCTTGTTTACATCCACAGTTAAAAAAGAACAAGCTAGGAAATTAGATATAAAACCAGTGCAACTTGGCAAGGGGAAAAAGAGGAGCAGGGAGGAGGACATGAGGGATTAGGGGGAAGAAAAGATGAGAGCAAGAAAAGAGATACCTTGATAGAGGAAGCCATTATAGGTTTAAAGAGAAATCTGGCACTAGGGAAATGTTCAGAGATCCACAAGGATTACCCCAGCTAAGAATCTAAGCAATAGTGGAGAGGCTACCTTAAATGCCCTTCCCCTATAATAAGAAGGACGACTACCTTAAATGCCATCCTAGAGCCTTCATCCCATAGCTGATGGAAGCAGAAGCAGAGATCCTCATCTAAACACTGAGCTGAACTCCGGCAATCCAGTTTTAGAGAGGGAGGAGTGATGAGCAAAGGGTCAAGACCACGCTGGGAAAACCCACAGAAACAGCTGACCTGAGCAAGTGGGAGCTCATGGATCTCAGTCTGACAGCTGGGGAACCAACATAGGATCGAACCAGGCCCCCTGAACGTGGGTGTTAGGAAGCCAGGGCAGTCTATAGGGTATCTGGCAGTGGAACAAGTATTTATCCCTAGTGCACGAATGGACTTTGGGAACCCATGCCCCATGAAGGAATACCCCAAATAACTTGACAGACTTGATGACCCCCCATGGAAGGCCTCACCCTCCTTGGGGAGTAGATGGGGGGGTGGGAGGGAGAGGGAACTGGGATTGATATTTAAAATAAGATTGTTTCTAATTTAAATAAAAATTATTAAAAATGTGTCTTAATCTGGCTTAAGTGGCTTTAGCAGGAAGATCTATCAAGCATTTATATAAAAGCTGATTCCAGTTTTTCTCTTTCAGTGCTGGGACTTGGTTCCAGAACGCTACACATGGGAGGGAAGCCATCTGCACAATTCATTGTAATTTCTTCTGATTGTACTTACATGACTCAGTTTTTGCTTGTGCAGGAGGATTATAATAAACAGTACCGATTTCAAGCCTCAATCTTTGATCCTTCCCTTGTGGTCTGCAACACGTTCTTTCCTGCCCCTCGGAACATGACAGATAGATGCAGGAAAGAGGCAAGGCCTCAGAAAATGGCAGGAAAATAAGCAGATGGATTGTTGCCAGGAGACAAGGAAAATCAGATTAGGGTTTGCTGGAGCTGAGAAACTTTTATTAAAATGAACTGCTATTGCTTCAAGTTTCAATGTTGCAGAAGTTAGCATTATTTATTCTAGCATGCCCAACACCCAAATCGCACCAATATAAGAGTAAAAAAATTGTATGCCAATCTCATCAAAGATCATAAATGTAAAAAAGCATAGATGAGAGCAATACATTATTTGAGACCTTTTAATTTACTAGTTCAACTGTGCTGAGTTTATATAGACATTTAAGTATAGGCTTACTTAAATCTACATGGTGTGTCCGAAATGTATTGTGACACTTTAGATAGTGAGTATACAAAAAAAGGAGTGAAAACTTAGAAGGAATGAGAGTGAATGAGACCTCAATAAAATTCCTGAATATAAGATACAAGAAAATACATTTCTTCTTCAACAACATAGTGCATATAATTCAAATATACATTAACATAACCAATAGTATATATCAATGACTATTAGTGGTAATATATTAATATAACATTTGGTAGGTGCTACTGTTGTATAAAATTTACTCTTCTGCCCTTGTTAATTGAAAGGCTTACTTTCTCACACCACCTGTGTGTGGTGTGGCCATATGGCTCTACCAGTTTTCCACAAGTTTCCAAGAGTCTTCTAGTTCTCCTGTTCCAGGACTGTAGCATGCCTCAGATAGAAATCTCTCCTTTAACTTGGATCCTGAAATAACAAAACACGCAGAAAAAGCTGAACTTAGCCCCAAGTAAATCCGAAGATGACCTAAAAACCTAGCATAGGAAATGAATGTCTCTGTTGCAAACCATGGAGCTATGTTAGCATTTTTGCCACAACTGCTGATTAACACATGATTTTGTAAAGAAAACACAAGTCTTTCAACTACATAGCATTAGAGTCATAAAATTTATTCTAGATTCATTGAAAGACACTATTCATTTTGCTTGGGTTACATCCATGTCAATTACTGTGTCTGGGAAAAACAAAACAAAACAAGGGATTCTCTTAGCTTTGGGAATTGGCTACATTTGGTAATAAAATGTTTCTTGATTGATTCCTGTTAAACAGTATAGAAATGGAAGAAAATAGCCAAAAGACAGGAGAAAAAAGTGAGATTAGAAACAATATGGTGTAGCTAAAACCCCAAGCACTATATCACATGTATAATTATATTTTTTGTCAATTTACCTGTGTCTTTAATATTTCAAAATATTAATAACTTAAATTATTCTTTTTTATACTCTGCCTGTGATTTTCTGTGTTGTCATTAACTCTTTTTTTTTTGAATTCTGTTTTAGCATTTGGTTCTGTTTCACTTAGGACATTTTTATACAGGGAGTCTTTCAAAAACAGTGCTTCCTCAGTCACTCTAGAAGTTTGACTGTGGCAGTCTACAGTCTTCCAACATTCACAAAGAGACTAGGAAAAGACTTCTTGCTCATCTAATGAGTCCTGGAGAGAGAACTATAGGTTTCCTAGAGAGTCTGAACATGGTTTCCATACTTACTTTGAACTTCCAGCTAATGCCAACAGAGAACAAGAGTACTCTCATCAGCTTGCCATGAGGACAAGCATGGAGGAAGGGGAAAAGGACTTTGAGGTCATAAACAACTCTTATCATTCCTTTCATATCCCACCTTAGTGACTGTTCTTTCTTCATCTCCAACGCAATCACTATCTTGTCTTTTTCAGAAACCATTTCCTGTCATTTCTTTTCAGGTGTTTGTTACCATGCCAGTTAGCATCCCTGGGTATATTTTAAGCATGTCTGCTAAGAAATATTGACATTGTGTTTTTTTTAAAAAAGCTTTAAAATCTATATGTTAGGCTGTTATCTGCTTTCTTTCCCTCCATGTTTTCCTTTGAGGAAATAAGAGGTTTGACACAAAGTTTTCCACACTCACAGTTTTGTAGATTGTCTGGGTACAGTTCCACGTAACAGGTTTCTCCTTCTGCATTTCTCACAGACCGGTAAGTGAACTCTGAGACTTGCTCAGACTCACTCCTGTTCCTTTGGCAACATTCAAAGGCACTTTAAAGGTGTGATGATATTTTCAATCTGTGACAACAGAGGGAGTCAGCAAATAGCACAGAGCTTTACTGTTAGTTTCCAGAGATGGTGGTATGATATAAAAAACAAAACAAAACAAAAAACACCTGCTTTGTTCCTGCCCCCAAGTCCTCACTCTCCTTTTGGTTCCTCTGCCATCTCTTGCACTGAAGTTGAGGTTAACGAGGTCTTGACAGCTCTCATTTTCTATTGTATCAGCCACTGAATTTTAGAGTTCTTTTTTTTAATTTTTATTTTTAAATTTAAATTAGAAACAAGGTTGCTTCACATATCAATTCCAGGTCCCTCTCTCTTTCCCTCTCCTCCTCCCATGCCCTCCCACCAACCCCTCCAATATCCCCTCATTTCCCCAGGGAGGGTGAGGCCCTCCATGGGGGTGTCCATAGTCTGTCATTTCATCCAGGGCAGGGCCTAGACCCTCCCCCAAGAGTTCAGGGTGAGAGTACATCTCTCATTGTTGGATGGGTACCCAAAGTCCATTTGTATACCTAGGATAAATACTGATCTACTACCCAAGGCCCAATAGATTACCTAGGCCTCCTCACTGACACCCACGTTCAGGGGGTCTTGATCAGTCCCATGCTGGATTCCCAGGCTAATGCCTGGGATTCAAGAGTTAACCCTTGTCAGGTCAGCTGTTTCTGGGGGTTAAACCAGCCCAGTCTTAACCCCTTTGCTCATCAGTCCTCCCTCTCTGTCACTGGATTCCTTGAGTTCAGCTCAGTGTTTAGCTATGGGAGTCTGCTTCTGCTTCTATCAGCCATTGAATGAAGTTTCTGTTTCCCAGACTCTCTGGTCATGGGATTGTACTCTGGCACTCCCCAGATCTATGTCTAAAATCCATATATGAGAGAGTACATGCCATGTTTCTCTTTTTGTGACTGGGTTACCTCACTCAGGATGGTTTCTTCTAGTGCCATCCATTTGCCTGCAAATTTCAGGATTTCATTGTTTTTTTCTGCTGAATAGTACTCCATTGTGTAAATGTACCACATTTTCTCAACTCTTCGGTTGAGGGGCATCTATGTTGCTTCCAAGTTCTGGCTATTACAAATAATGCTGTTATGAACATAGTGGAACAGATGCCCTTGTTGTATGAATGTAAATCTTTTGGATATATGCCTAAGAGTGGAGTTGCTGGGTCTTGTAGGTTTATTCCCATTTTTCTGAGGAATCTCCATGCTGATCTCCAAAATTTACAAAGAACTGAAGAAGCAAGTCTCCAAAATACCAAAGGATCCAATTAAAAAGTGGGCTACAGAACTTAATAGAGAATTCTCAATAGAGGAGTTTAAAATGGCTGAGAGGGACTTGATAAAGTGCTCAGCATCCTTAGTATCCAGGAAACACAAATCAAAACAACTCTGAGATACCATCTTACTCCTGTTAGAATGGCTAAAATAAAAAACACAATGACAATTTATGCTGGAGAAGTTGTGGTGAAAGGGGAACACTCCTCCACTGGTGGTGGGAGTGCCAACTCATACAGCCATTTTGGAATTTTAGAGTTCTTGATAGTGCCTGTTGTAAGGGTCAGTCAGAAAATACCGATTTTACTCCATTAGGTGCTCTGTGTTTATGTGGATATTCAAAGTCATCACACAGAGCTGTATGAGTTTCAGGTCTCATCCAAACACTGCTTTGCTTTCATTTTTTATGATTTAGTTTTATTTTATATGTAAACATGTTTTGCCTGCATGCATGTCTGTGTACCACATACATGACTGGTGCTCACAGAGTCAGAAGAGGCCATTGGTTCCCCTGAAAGTAGAGTTACAGATTCCATGTGGGTGCTGGGAATCAAACCTGGGTCCTCTACGAGAGTAACAATTTCCTGTGACCCCTGAGCCAACTCTCCAGCTTCAAGATAATGGTTTTTTACTTGAAAAAGCTTAAAACCATCTGTTTGACAAATACATCTCCTGTGTTCTATTATCCTACCACATTTATTGAATAATGGATTGTTTTTCAAGGAGTGCTGGTAGGAAAAAGATGGAATGACAATTTGCAGAGACCCTCAGGATTTATCACAGGCAAACTCTCTCTAGTTGTGGTCAGAGAAGCAATTTTATCTCGTGTTGCTTTTAATGCATTCTCTAAGTGAGGAGGAAATAATAGGAGATGCACTTGTTTGGGTGATGGTGGGCCATTTACAACCTTACACATGATTAGAAAACACAACACACACGGATGATGTGATTGTGTTTGAAGAGGCTTGGAGATCTTGGAATCCAATACAATTTTTCCTCATTTCATTTGCTTTGTCTCTGCTTGCTCTTCTTTTTAGATAAAAGACAGTGAAGCTACAAAATACAAATATAAACAACTAAACCCTCAATAAGATATAATTTGGCAGTCTTCCCAATTTGGCAGACTAAATGAAAGGCCTTCAAATAAACAGATTTTGCCAAAAATATTGCTTGTCAATGACACTTAATGAGACAGGGTCAAGGGGTTTTGAAAAATAAAAACTGGGATCCTCCAAGCATTCTATAATTCATGGTATCATTTACAAGCATTTGCTTTCAGAGACAAGGAATGCCGAATGATGAGTTTTCTATTCTTGCTATAACAGAGCATTACAAATGGGTCGCTCAGTATAACACATCTATCCTCTGGTGTTTTGTTTTTTAAATAAATTTTATTTAAATTAGAAACAATCTTATTTTATATATCAATCCCAGTTCCCTCTCCCTCCCATTCTCCCATGCCCACTAATGACCCCCCGATCCCATCTCCCATCCACTCCCCAGAGAGGGTGAGGCCTCCCATGGGGGATCATCAAAAC